ATAGGCACTGCAAGTGAGTCTGCTCCTTAGACTAAGGAAACAAAAGGACATGAACAAACCAGACGTTATATATACATATAACCGTGGCGCGCGTTTTAAAGTATTTCCTTTCAATGATGCGGTATTAACACGCGATACCGCGCGTACACATGGACAAGTACGAGTAAAATACATATATTTCTAGACGCGCAATTTGAAAACGCGCTTTAAATTTATGTCAGCTGAACTTACGCTATTAAAGCGGAATGCAATTATGGAATTAATATTTATTTCATCATAATTGCTTCAATTCGCTTTACGATCAAAAATAAATGATCTTAAAAACCAACTGACTGCAGATATTTTGACAAGTTATATGTACTCGTAAATCAGCCTAGCCTTTACTTATGGTTTATCAAGATCGTAGAACAGAACTAAATTAGTCCAATGGCAGATCTTTGATCGCATTACATAAACATAAAATTAGTTATTGTGATAATACGTATGTATACCCATTCAAATTAAGATAAAAACTACTTCCACTGTCAGTAAGTATTTAGGGAAACAAAATGTGATGAGGCATTCAAAATGAATAAAAATATAGGTGGACGAACATTATAGGACGAGGATATTTAAAGTAAATTAAAACAGAGAATACACAAATAGCTAACATCTACCAAACTTTACAATCGGTATCATACAACATATCTACTCTACTATGAACATATTGAAATAAATTATTCTGCACACCATTGATAACTTAATGCAGATATATAAGGGCCACATAATTATTAACTAAGTACATATGTTAATTAAAAACTGAGTATTACAAAATGATGAAGATTATTCACAGAGGTATACATTGTAAGTTTACGATAATTTTTTCCAGTAGAGCAGTCGTACGTTTCTGCACTTGTACTTCTGAGTACGATGCACATAACGAAACATTTTTGTTTTCAAAAGTATTTCGCATGTGGCGTTTGAATTGAAACTTATATATCATCTTATTGTCCGCACACAGTCAAATTTCATACAATTCCGAGCAATACACTTCGTTGATAGAGAAGTGACGGTTTGGCTGACAACATGTCAGTCGCGTATACCACAAAACTGATAACTTTATTGCTATCATTGCCTATGTTAATATGTGAATGGTTGCGATCGAAATTCGTACACAAAAGGATAATAAAAAATAAATAAAAAAGAAAGTCGATTATTTTTGTAATACTCAGCGTTGTCTAAAGACAATATTTTAAACTAAATTATCAGAAAGGCACCTGTTGGAATGCACTGTATTATTACAATTTAACCTAATATACTTTATACACTGCTACTTAGAATACAAAAATGTAGGTAGTAAATGTGTGGAATGCGCACGTTATCACAATTTCGTAAGTAAATATTAGTTTGTGGCGTACTGTTGACTAAAGAAACGTCATACTTCTTGTTCCGTTTCAGTTCAGTAAAGTGATTTGATTTTGTTGTTTAATCGTGAAAAAGGCACAAATTTATGAACTACATAAATGTATAAAAGAATACTCAATAGACAATGATATCTATGTACTTAATAGATTGAAGTATTTGTCAATAGACGCGAATTTTAGTCACCGGCGAATTTAGAAAATTCGAATTAACCCGGTACCACCACGTCTCTAAAGCAGACGGGTCGTAACGAATTTACAATTTATGATCATGTATATTACTCGTCTACAATTTTTAGTACTCGTCATCGCTACGGACATATTTTATATAATTATAATAATATTTAAATCTATTTAAAAGTATGCATCAACTTTCTTCAAAACACGTGCAAAATAAAACTACGCGACTCGGCGGCAGTGAAGGATCCGCCTTATAAAATAGGCCATTTCCAAAATAAATCGTAAGTAACCCGAGTAGAGCTCGATCTCGTTCTAATCTTTGACACTAAAAGGTCTATCCACACATATCCGGGCCATGCCCGGGCCGTGGCCGGGACTTGGACGGGCCGTGCTCCGTCAGGGGCTCAAAAAAATATCGTTGTGTATATTTTGTATGAACTCGTTCACACATGTCCGTGTCCGGGCCGACGCCAGGACGGGCCCGCAGTTCATACCAACTAGCACGCCCAGTCCACGTCCCAGCCACGGCCCGGATATGTGTGGATAGTCCTTTAATCGTATTATACTTTGATGTTATTGACAGTGAACACTTTTTTATTCACCTCAGTATTACGACAGACGTCACAATGCAGTTTACTATGTGTCTTCAAATAAATCACCTTGTCTAGGTTTAGGCACTTTCAAACTCTCTCTTAATGATTATGACAAAAATGTAGGATATTACCATTGACTTACAAAGGTATTACATAAGAGTTTAATACTTTGAGATATAAAATTGTCCATATTACTATAGATTTACCTAAAAAAATATTTATTTGCTTTTTATACTAAGTACACAACACAAAATGTTTAGAGAGGGTGGAAAGCAAACACGAATACTTTTTTGTGACTGCGGCTTACTCGGATCCGAGACCGACCCAATGCCGGTTCTAATGGACAGCCAATAAAGGTCCGGTGACGAAGGGTTAAGTTGTTCAGTGCCATGGACACTTTTATATACCTAAATAGAAATGTGTATACACATTTCTACACATTGCATTTACAAATAGGTACATTAATTACAAATTATTCCTTGAATTTGTGTTTTATTTGCACTTACGAAAATGTTTACCTATATCATATGAAGTATAATTAAAATAAGCACACCAACGAATGGAATTATTAATAACATTTCTGACTGCATGTGATTAAAAATAGACCAGTCGTTTGAGAGAAACATTTTCAGTAAATATAATTGATTACGCCTAATTTGATTTTAATTCAGTCATGAATTGAATCAAGTCAACGACGAGAACCCAATATGTATGTTCAGTTGAACGAAATCAATTAAGGAGGAGCAATGAGCATTAATAATTGGTGTTGTGCGGACATTTTTAATTGATACAATCGTGTCTTAAACATCGATAGTGTTTTCAACAGAATCCATGAAAATAGTCCTTTTATATATATTATAGGCAGATATTGTAGGCAGATAAATTACATTGTTTATAACAAAGAATAAGGAATAACCATTGGGTGTAGAGTGATTCACGTGTTTGTAAGTGGCTGGGTCTGTATTTAAGTTTACTCCTGCAACTAAAACGATTTTAATCGATCTTTAAAAGTGAGCCATCCCTCGGTTTGCATAAACTCAAAGAGTGACTACGATACATGGCGTCAGCAAAAATTCGATATGACAGGTACGAGACGCTATAATAAACGAGCAACCAATATGCCTAATGATCAGGTGCCCACGTTCAGATTGTGATGATATGTCGTGGTTTTGTATTCAAAGTCAGATTCTCATCAGATTATCATGTGACCAAAAAGTAGTTATTGTTAATGGGAATGCTACAAATTAGCATGTGGTCGACTGGTCTACACTCATTCACATCATATTTATTATGCAAACCCTAAATTTACAACACAGTACGTACACTCATATGGACATATTTGCAGGAACGCTAAAAAACGTTGAATTATGATACAACACGTAAATACTTTAATAGTCTTTTGATGTCGATTAAAAGTTCTGGTATGTTTTCTAAGCTTTTGATTGGCTAAATGTAAAGGCATAGGCCATTTGTATTATAAAAAAATACATGATCAGTAGCTCTTAGGAACTTTGTTATCGTAATTCAAACTTTCTTTAACGTTCCTTTAAACAGATGAAACAGACACAAAGAACATAATCACAAATTTACACTTAAAATAAAAAACTACCACAGCTACGCTGAATTTTATTTTAACCCGAGTCGAACTCGATAAGTAAATGTTAAAAAAATATATAAGTAATCATACAAACTTAAAAATAAATGATAAATTTGCATATGCTCGTATTTCTATTATTTTTAGCACATTTTTAACGACGTTTTTATACAAATACAAAAAATTCAATTATGAATGATTAGAAATGAGGTATAAGAATATAAATAGTTTTGTAAAAATTAAAAATAACGCTCAGTCGTGATATGTAGAGCTTGTTTGCAAAAACAAGCGATTTTAAGATCCGAAAAAATGGTTTCAATTCCAATTTGTCGCGGAAACCTAAAACCTCAATGTTTAAAACATAATACTTTTTAAATATTGAATGCATGAGGCGGCTTACACACAATTTAGTAGATTAAATAAAATTCATAGGTTTCCTAGTAAATAAAAACCAGCGAGTTTTCGGTACAGAGTCCGTCAGTGCTTTACACTACACGAGGAATGCGTTATTTTTATGTAAATTTACATAAAATAACATTTATGCTATTATTGTAATTGACTAATCTTTAAATAGTATTTTATTTTAAGAAACATTTCTAATGATAATATTTACTATTTTCGTTTAGTATTTTCAACAAAAATTACTAATAAGTCGTATATTTTAAAAGGCAAAGACAAGTCTCAAATTTTATTGTTATATATGAGTACGCCTTATATTGCATATGAACAATACACTCCCCGTATAAACATTTATGTATATACATGTGATAAAACAAGCTATACTATCGTTGTGATGGAATTAACCATAATTTTTAACATTACTACTTACTTACTAACTAAAGTTATTGACTTATCTGAAATAAACTAAACTACTGTAATATAAATTTAAGACTTTTGTGGTTATTCGATAAATGCTTATCATTAATTACAGGTTTCTTCACTGGGCATAATTTCTTTTTATTTTCCCAATATTTCATAAAGGTATGGAGCATATACTATGGTCAAGGCTTGACTGGCCTTCGGCAGATGATAGCTTTAAGATCAGACGGAACGATAACGGACGGCTATGGAGTAGAATTCCCAGCCAGCAGACCTGTTCCCTGAACGTTATAAATTGTGCATTTCAAGGCGACAGTGAATAAGCATTATTTAGGTGTGCATGCTCCATCGTCGACCTCATCGTCACTTCAATAGCGCACATACATTTTATAACAAAAAAGCCATATTTCGCTGTCGACGACTACCTTCATCTCGAATATTTTTTTTTATAATATCAAGTGACGGGACGAACCAGACATGCACCTGATGGTAAGTTACACGCCTGTCCATAACAGAGCTTCAAATCGCAAATATCTGTGGGGCACTGCCACTGCGCCTGTTACCATTGTCACTCTCTTTTTCCGACAAACCACACTCTGTCATACGGTGTGTATACCTGCCACAAGAACAGGAGCACGTAAAGTCGATTTTGCGACAGAAATCATACCGTGGTAAGAAACCTGTAATTAATGATAATCACTTAAATAACCGTAACCATACTACTTAATACACTGTTAAATGTTAAATCAGTAAAATTTTTATGTAAATTAAATATACCAATGATTAAAAAAAATTAAGTAATACGATAGGTTTTTTAACCTGTTCGATTTTAACAATGTCTTAAATGTTACATCATACACATATTACACTCTTCACAAATGTTGTAAAGTGATTTAGTAAAATATTTTAAGAAATCGTGAGAAAAGAATGTATCAGTTTTCAAACCGGGCATTATTTATACGCGGAGTATCAGGGTCTAGACACACTCGACCACTAAGTAAGACTTGGAACTATTTTCGTAGTGAAATCCTACATTTAATACTAATTTCTATAAGTTCCCACCATACCTCTGAAACTCGCCCACCGAGACGTAACGATACCCAAAATCAAGCTGTTCAAATTATGTTTAAAGTGCATGATAATAAGTACAAATTAAATATAAAATTCGTAATAAATATCTAAAGAAATATTTCATGCTGGCACTATTTCAATATTAAAAATGATCAATAATCATGATTGTATTTTATATTCACATAATTTATGTGTAATGTAGGTGAGGTATATAAGGCCCAGCCGGAAACAATATTCAAAAATGTTAACTAGGATAATCTCATTCGTACAACGTTTCGTACAAGCGGCTGCGTTGAGTTTGATGTTATAAGAAATACAGATTTAATTTACCGTGAAACTTCACGGTTTTGTTCTATGTTTTCACGTTCATATGATTAAAAAATATCGAGCTATTGCGGAGATTTAAGAATATAATTGTTATGGATGTCTACTTTTACACTACGTATGTTGGCTATTTCTGAACATTGCACCACTGTTTACAAGGCCCGCTGCTGTAACAAGGCACCTATTTAAAACATGACATTTAATGGCGTAGTTTAAAAAAACAATAACTTCTAATGTTTACAAATTCATAAAAACAAAGTGTTTATCAAACATAGAAAAATTAAATTTTAGATTAATTTTTCTGTTATGTTTTTTTATGGTCTTTGGTTGATTCCGCGTGACAGCGAAAGTGTTGAATCAATCTCTTTGAAAAAAATATACAGTAAAATTGAGGATATACTAGGTCAGTGATATACACTGATTAGTATACGGTGTGAAAACACGATGCCTAAAAATTTTTTCGATAGAAAAATCAAAAACATACGTCGAAATTTTACAAGAAAACCGCAGTATTCAGTAGGTACTTTACACATGCAAATTTTTTTTATATGTATATCAAGTGAACTAAATAGAAAACGTATAGTATGACGATATATATTTTTCAAATAGCTTTCATTTCTATTGTAAAAAAACAAGTGCTAAAATAAAACTAATGTCCTAGCCGCTCGACCAAAGCAAAACGAAGATGTCGTCTTCAGTAAATATAAAGCGAGACTTTTATTTAGTCCGAAGATAATTTGGTTGCAGCAATAACTATGAACGATTTGATATTTATGATTTGATATTTTTGTAACTGACTAATATTTTATTTTGTTTTTAGCTTCCAGTGAAATAGACTTATAACTTATGACTTATAACTTAGTTAAGCCCAAGACCGTATATTTTTAAAATAAGTATATTCTTCTGGTGTAAAGATACTAATCATCACTGTATGTATGAGTGAAGTTGAAAACTTTTTAAACCCGTTTTAATCTCAGAATGTTTCATTTGTATGTTTTATGAATATTTAATATTTAAAGTTTTGTGTGATGTTATATTTTTTAATTTATATATTTGTGAAGATACTTAAATACTTTATTTTGAATAAAGGTGGGCTTTAAATACCTCCTACACATTATTGAAAAATTTTGTAAACAGCACCGTGACAAAACTTAGTTGAAAATGATTATTATATAATGGTAAAATTTGATGCAAAACGATGCATGACGTGAATCTAAGGTGGTTCATTTCTAAAACAATTATTTGTAAAAGCTGCAATTCAAGGGCTATGTTTAGTAACAAACGTAATACTTATGAGTTAATATTGTTATAAAGACTCTTACTTGTTAGTGCCATTCTAAATAATTAACATCACTTAATACCCACATACATGAGTATGTATATAATTATAAGGCTCTAATTTGTTAGCTGACATTCTTTTATGGGCACGTTGAATACAGAACACCAAATAATTTTTACCCATTTCGAATCGAGAATATCAATTCAGCTACTTCGTAGTAAACAGTAATTACCGGATCGACCTACTTACATATTAGAACCCTATACAGAAAAATTCGTTACAAATTGATTTATAACTAAATGTTCAATCAATTAAGTGACTAAAAATAATAGTAACAAGAAAGTCCTCAAAAAATGTAGTCTAATTTGTGCAATAAGTAGGTAAATACTTGAGCTACATCAGGATTAAAATTGTATTACACATTGCAATGTGCTTACTACATATATATTAGTTTTCGGCACATTGGTGATGTCAATAGTTTTTACAAATTCGAAATATTATTCAATACTACATTAGTTGCTCCGTAAGAATCTCACTGTTTTTTATACCGCCGCATCTCAGAATTTGTGACTGGGAGCCGGCTGCTCAGGCGGAGTTATGTTCATTCCCATGTTATCGTAGGAGAAATCCAAAGTTGTGTCTTCAGCTGGATGTCTATTACTTATTGCTGTGCTGACAGTCTTAGGTGTAGTCGCTCCTTGACTTTTTTCAGTCTGTGAAGTTCTCGTCTGCAGGTCATTAGCGTTCAGTGGCTGATTTGTCCTCTTGGGAGGTGTGGGGTTTCTTATCTCCAACTTTAACTCATGCTTTGGTTTCGGCATCTCAGCGTGCGGGTTGTGATGCGTGAGGCCACTAGGGTTCTGCTTTACTCGGTTCTGGAAACAACATTCTGATTTATTTAATGTTGTATCGATCTATAACACTTCAATCACAATTTTCAAGTTCATAAATAATGTTTCTAGCATAATTTTTTGAGGACGTTAATATTTTATTTTATACCAATGACGGGATGAATAATCGTGCGCCTGGTGGTCAGCGACACGCCGCCTGTCCATAACAGTTGCAATGCCACTCAGAAGTTCAAATCGCACCGCAACAGAACGCAGTAATGCTCACGTTACTGTGATGATGAACTCTTTCACAAGGAGCTCTACTGCTATGTTATTTCGTCATTGCATTTTTATAATTTATGACTTCGACTTATTACATTAAAAAGTTCATGCCACTTTGCGTTGTGGTAACGAGCTTAGGAGGGGACTGACTGGCACTGGTGGCAATGGATCTCGCAACGAAATAATTGTTTTAATGGACACATTTTTAAAAGAATAACGAAGCAAAGTGGTAACGTTAAATCGTTTCGGGACTATATTTAGAAGCTTGTGCGTCAAATGTTGTCAAGTCACGTTCACGTGTCGCAAACAGCTGTTTGAGACAACGAAAATCTATTTAGCATATCATCAATGCTTTTCCTAGTTTTTATTTCATAAAAATAAAGAAAATTTTGCAAATTTTCAAATAAAAAATCTATCAAAATGTTTACAATTAAGCCGTAGAATTCTAAGCATTCATCATCATCAACCCATTTATACATCCCACTGTTGGACACGGGTCTCCTCGTAAGGCGCGGGTTTAGGCCATAGTCAGCCACGCTGACCCAATGCGGTTTGGGGATTTCACACATTTTCCGGGGGTTGCGATTGGTGAATCTTCTTCGACGCGCAAGTTTCACCACAATGTTTTCCTTCATCAAAAAGCTCGGGGTAAACTTGAAATTATATTTCGCACATAAATTCCGAAAAACTCAGGGGTGCAAACCTGGATTCGAACTCACGGCCTCGGCGGTAAGTCAAACAATTAAGCTGCCAGGGTTGGCTATTCTAAGCGTTATATCAAATACCAAATACCATTGATTTGTTATTATCTAGTACGGTTAATATACAAAAATATTATATACGTTTCACGCAACTTCTCATTGGAGGCAGCAGAGACTATAGCCCTTCACTTGCTACGATATACATATAAGACTTTTTCATTTCATTTAATATTTTTCACCCACCTCATCACACACATGAGCTTACTTAGACAGTTGTCGCTAGCGATCGCGAAAAGTATTTGACAATTTTATAGGGCAAATTGTACAGCGCCTTCTAGTGGCCCCAAAATGAAGTAACATTTTACGTATGTATTTTTTACGCGGTAGCTAGCGACTAACATGACTATAAATTCATGATAAAGATTATGGGTCTTTCTTCAGGACGTCCTCAATGCACAAACATACTTTGTTTTGTTTGAATTTAATGTAGTTAGATATGCAAAAATACTAATTATATGTAGATTCATTAAATTTTGCAAGTTATGTCATTAGCGTTGACATCGTTTAATTTTTTATCCAAATGAGGTACATAATCTTAAATTTACCTTCGTTATTGGAGTGAAAGTGGTTAGGTAGTCATGTGCGGAATTCTGGGGCGATTCACATTACAAATCCATAATAGCTAACAAGGTGTCTAGTCAAATGAATTTGTTTTTATTTTAACAAAAACTTGACAAACAAATTGATATAATACACGGAGTATGAGTGTGCACAATAATAACTACACAATGTTGTTAATTTTGAAAACTAAAATGCTAAAATACATTTTACCGATTTATGTATCAAGCATTCAATTGTGAAAACTTAAGCCAATTTACAGATATTCTCGATAGCTTGAGCTTCAACATCGCGTTGGTTTAATTTCTCTCACTAATTTCCTTTTCATTCGTTTCCGACATTTAAATTCTTCTTCATAGAACATTGAAACATAGAATATGAATATAGTAGCAGTAGACCTCCTTGTGAAAGAGCTCGTCCTGGGAAGTACTGCCACCTTACCAATTTCTGCCGGCAAGCTGTATTGTCAGCATTACTGTGTTCCGGCTTTGAATGGTAATGTCTCAGGGTGACGGGCGCAGTGGCAGTACCTCTCAAATCTTTGCGATTTAAAACTCTGAGTGGCACTACAACTGTTATGAACAGGATTGTAGCTAATTATCAATCAGGCGAACGCCAGTTCGTCCCGTCACTTGATATTATTAAAAAAAAATAATTTTAATAATCATTATATTTCTTTCTTATAATATTTATTCGATATTTTTGAAATAGCTTGTCTGAATCAGATAAAGCAAATAAATGGAAAGTTTACTAAGTTCTGCCATTTTAAGAGATGTCCTTAATTTTTATATCGAAGTAAATTACACCTGTGAATAATATGAGGAACTAACCTTGGAAGGCTGTAGCTTCTGCTTGAGGTACCTCCAGGAGAAGCTACCGCGGCACACGAGGATGAGCACGATGAGAAGCAAAGCGAGTGCTACACCGCTCATAATCAACGCCGCTTGCGCCTGGCGTTGCATATCTATAACATAACCAGAATTCTAAATATTTTTCATTCGTCAGGTCAATTAGAATTACCTTTTATATCTTTATATTTTATGATTATTTAATATATATAATGCTTTTTTTTTAGAAAAAAATATCTTCATTATTTATAGTTGTAAGATGAAAGTAAGTAAAATTTACGCTAAGTAAAAGTAAGTCAAAGTTGGTGCGGTAAACATTATATAACCAGTTTCTGTTTGGTAGTATGGACCTGTCTATTTACTGTACCGTATTGCATGCACTAGCTGGGTAGCTAATCTCCTCTGAAAAGAGAGTTGACCGGTGTAAACCCTCTTAGACTACTAGACTGAATTAATACGTATTCGTACACCAGTTACCGTTTGATATTCAATAACAGGTACTAATACGGTTGCAACAAGGAAAAACAGCTATTAACAATATTCATATAATAAATATTTGTTTGGGTATTGTAATTATCGTGAAGTCGTAATCTACTTGCGTCGTCGTCGGTCATAATCAACAACAATATGCGGTCGAAACCGACTTCATGCAGCCGACAACGACTGCTTGCAGTTAATGCGTGAAGTGATTACGACTTCATGCATTAATTGCAAACAAGTAGTCACTGTGTTAGCAGCCGTACGCTAGCGCTTTCTTTTATTACCGCACAAAATTGTCACCGTTTAGAGCGATTTATTTAAATACTTTAATTTTTGTACGAGAGTAAAATTCGATGAATTATTATCAGTGATCGGAATTGAGAGAGTTAAGGTACCTAAAGCATGAACGTTTTCTTATTATGGACATACCCATTTCGTCATCAATATAAAATTTCTCGTATAAATTTTTTTGATTACTTAAGTTCTAAACATTCCAAAATACAGGTTGTCAATAACGTTTATTTTTTAAATATTTAAAGTACATATGGAAACACAACTACAATATTATATTAGAGATAGCGCTGTTGCAATGGCTTCGAAGATCTATCACAAACTTCCGATTGAAATAAGGAATTGCAATGATGCTACAGAGTTATTTAATACCTCAATGAAATGACATTCTACAATATTAGAGACTTCAATTAAAATTGTCATTGTATATTATTTACGTTATTTTTAATGTTTTACATTTTGTATAATAATATCAGTCATAATATATATTATGAGATTATTTTATTGGACGGCATGAATACAATATACAAATTATGGTATGAGTATAAAAAAATGAAACTTTGTATGCTGCAAGCCGGATCACAGTGATTCTATGTGAACTTTCTGTAACACCTTTTATAACCTGTGTATCACAAAGAAATAAATGAATTTGAATTTGAATATTTTGTGGCAATAATTTGTAGCAATAGGACATAATAAATTTGTTGCCAATGTTCTCAAATTTCAATAAATAATCATCGTAAATAATCTGACATCCGTCCGAAACAATTACAGTCAAATAAATAATACTCGACCAAATTAAAATTCGCATCATGCGTCTTTGTGTTTGGTCGAGGGTTACTTAGGTATATGACAGTAATTGTTTCAAACGATCTCGGAAGGAGAACGGGAGTAGATCCCCGTTCCGAGACGTCCCGAGATATTTAGGAAGAAATGTCCACGTTATTCTATACTTTAGCTAAATGAACTCCCTCAATTCCGAACACTAATTATTATAGAAGAATAGTTGTTGTTTATGACGTTAGTAACATAGTTGTTAGTATTTTACAAACAACCCTGTATAAGCATTTGTACAACTACAAAATTAGAGGGCCAATTCATAATATATACAGTTATTTGTTAATGGTGTTTCCAGAACCTGAGTAACTATACTGCAAAAATGAATTTTATAAACATATTTAAGTAAAATTGATTTTACTGAATACGAGGAAAATTTACTAACATGATATCCATTTATTTTTGTGAAATTACTCCAATAGTTTATTACAATTATTAATATATAGATCGTACACAATGGAAAATTCCTTCGGCCTGACAGAAATCGAATCTGCGTTTATAAGAGCGGTTAGCGGTTAGCGGTAGCGGTTGGATGCAAATGCGATGCAGCAGCCTTTACACACGCGCGCGATTTTAAGCAGCAACGCAAGGATTTATAGGCGTTTGTATCGATGCAGTCGCGCGTTACCATCGATGTAATCGCCTATACATCACAAGTGTACCGATGTAATCGCGCGTTTGTACCGATGCATATTACCATGCAATGGAACTAGATCTGTCCATGTGTTTCTGATTGCTGCCGACTGTACAACCTCATAATACATGCATAATGCATAAATTTATTAAAATGGGGAAATGTAAATCGGATCACAAAGATTATTTATTATCTTTTGACAAACATTTATCTTTTTATTTATTATATTTTTATATGATTCATACAACAGTGATTTACATACTCGCTGAGATATTATTTATTCTTAACGAAAAGTGCAAAGATTACGCTCGAATGTATCATGTAGTACGTTATTTTGAACATTGTTAAGTATAAATAAAACCTACCTAGACGATAAGAACATTCAAATATAAAATTTTTGTGTACATGAAAATAGCATCCAAATATAACATAATTATGTACGGACAACGGCACATCAGACTACACATTTTTGTTCGAAAATCGCCTCCAGTGCAACGGAACAAGATACGTCAATGTGTAGCTTGATGTGCTGGCGTGTACTGTGGTATCATTTAAAGTTATATTGTACAAAAAAATGTAGGTTACACCACTTTTGCGCTGATATTTATGCTGATATTTTCATTTATTTCACCAAAGATTTTTCATTTGTTGCATCCATAATTCCAAACAGTTTTATACTGTGAATTATTAAGTCTTGAACGCGAACGGTGTAACGATTATAGCAATATTATCTAAGTGCCTCGGTGACCGAACGGTTACCATGCTGGACTCCCACGTAGGAGTCCGGGTTCGATTCCCTGTCTGGGAGAAATATTCGTATGTCCTACATTTATTCCTCTTTCTGTGCGTTATTTATTGATTCATTCACAATGAGTACGTGTGAGCTTTGCTAACTATTCAAGTATTAAAAAATAATGCAAAATGAAATTCAGAACTCTCGCTTTGGCAAATGCACAGCATTATAATTATACAATAATTCATAAAAAATCCATTTAAGTGAAAGTGGAAATTCACTAAAATTGCATCATTTGATATAGTTTCATGCTTCGCTTCGAATTTATTATAGACAAAATAATGTGATTTCGGGTCTAGTGATAGAGTTAACTTCTCAATTTAACTGGTTTGACGACAGGCAAGTTGTTAGTCAAAACAAAACTATGCGTTTTGGTTGTAATAAAACCAATATCCTTGTTACCACCGTACGGCAAAACATATCAAACACTTTTGATTACCCTATTAAAGTTATAAATGAAAATATCTATTTAAATTTATTTAATAACTTATATTAATATAGTTGTAGATCATATGTGTATTAATTGATGCAAACGCGATGGTAGCGCGCGACTGCTTCGATACAAATTGCATAGGTACACTTGTATTGATGCAATCGCCTATAAATCGTAAGTGTACAATCGCGCGTTAGACGAACACACGTTTTCACCGCTGCTAATAGTCGCCGTGTTACCTACAACTCTGAAAGTTTTTTTTATAAACATTTTGTAGATCATTTGTATATTGACTTGACGCAACTATTTCTACCTGGTGGCACAGCAATTGGGTATTTGATGAGGTGGAACGTTGTTCGTTTTCGTAGAAAACCGATTTAAGCGACAACCACATTTAAACTGGTTGTGGTCCAGATAGTGCTCTGAGAATTATATACCTTGCTCTCTACAGTATAATACCGGGAATCACTGAATCTGAGACCACGTAACTTATGAAACTTTGTGGTACATTATTTTATTTTTATTTCCCTTTCGGTGCACATCCAAAGACAGAATAATTATATTTTACCAGGATACGAATATACGACTGGTTACATGAAGTTCTTCGCAATGTTGCCGAATAAACTGCCTCTAATGAAATGACAATAGTAGCGCCATTATTTATATGTATGTCTACAAGAAAAATATAGCCTTTAAAACTTTAACTATATTTATTCATTATATTGTAGTTACACGCAGTAATGATTGGCAAGTTAATGTACACTTAACAGAACATCAACCTCAGCAATGCTATGGAACAACAACTGTCAATGTTTAGCTTGGTGCTGCGTCCGTACAACAAATATGTCTGGCAAAATATTTTGGTTCACAGAAATCGAAAATTATTTCAAAAACTTTATGTTTCCATTTTTTGATGTAGCCCATGATCAATTCGAACTATGCATAGACACAGTGCCCTTCTACAAAATTAACGTGCGCTAAACAAGTTACGTGCCATGTAAATTTTCAGTCTCGCACCGAATCTAGACAAATCCATTAAAAAATAACTTGCGAAAACAAAGTGGAAAAGAACACTATTATCTATGGACAATATAAAACGTAATGAATACCAATGCAATACTTGCTATGTGACATATACCTTTTTTTTTTTTTTTTTTTTTACGAATGACAATTATTTCATGAACTTAATATAACAATTCGCTTTTCATAGCATTATATTTAATGAACACAATTCGCTTAAATGTATAAGAAAATTAGGTTTTAATTTCACATCATACATATAGTTTGTACGTGTGATTCTATAAAGCGAACAACTTTTACAATGGTGGGTCCATACATTTGGATCGAGTAGGCATTTAGATATATGTTGGTAAAACACATTTGTTTTCGCGATTTCAGAGGAGTCGCCGTTGCAAAATTTGTTCATGTATAATGAATAAACTCCAGTCACTGGCCTATAGTTAGATCCAGAGTTGCAAGTAAATACTTGTTTATTTAGGATACTTGATTGGTATATAGCTCAACCGCACTGCAAACAAAGTAATAAAAAAAAGAAAAATAAATAAAAATAATCTGAAACAATTATTTAAAAAAATTATATTTATTACAAAAGTATACAGTATTATAATGAATATACGTATTAATAGTATTAAGTATTAATACGTATATTCAGTAAACACTCCTCTCACACACACTCCCAACACACTCCCATGTAATTCACCAACACTGTGCATACTGTCAAAGACAAAATGTAGGCCAATGGCATCGCGTCTTTGATACAGTACAAATATGGAAGAAAAAAAATTTTTAAAAGCCATGCAAGCTGTCATATAGCAATGTAAATGCCGATGAATACTATTTGTAACAAAGAGTTTTAACGGTTTATACACCTCTCGCGATGGCCCGCTGCACTTCACCAAATGATTTAGGGATGATTTAAACTACTGATTATAACATTCAACATTAAAACTTACTATTGAAATCCGATACCCGCATGTACCTCAGGTCCATCAAATATTCTGAAAAGATAAACAAATATAAGTAAAAAAACGTTACTTACACTATACTCAAATCTACCAGCCTGCATACGTCCTTCTTTTTAATATGGGTTTTTTTAGGATTTAAGGCCAAGAGTAAGTATAAAATTTCATTTAATTCTTATTTTATTTTTATTATATATTTTAGAGTATTCTCACCAACACTAGTCAAAGTAAAGAGATGTTGGTTAAAACAAAGCTCTTTTCAATTTAACGTACGGTGTAAAAGACATAATATCGAACATATTAAGAACGCAGAGTACAAAACCAGTCCTATGAGTTTGATGACAATTGGCCCTAAGCATATAGACAGCGAAAATTTCGACACCGTTATCGCATAGACTGTATTAAGGAAGCCGATGTTCAAAGTAGAAATCGCTTTTAATTATAGTTAAATTAATTTTATTCTTAACAATGAAATGTGGTGCATCTATACTAAATGTAGAACTGCTATTAGATTATATGTATGCTTTAGTATAACGCACACACTCAACATAGCCCCGCACTAGCAAAGCGTCACAGGTGCCATGGACACACACTTAGGGTCGTATTCCAGAACTCTACTCAATACTCAAGTCAGAACTTGAGTATTGCAGTGAGCACTGAAAATCATACTCAAGTCCTTGCCATTAGGGTCGTATTTTCAGTGCTTGAAATCTACTCTACTCAATGCTCAAGTCGTGACTTGAGCATTGAGTAGAGTTCTGGAATACGGCCCTAAGACAACCGTACATTATATCCAGACTCACGAGAGAAATAAATGTAGGCCGTGTAAATATTTCTTCCGGCCCGGGAATCGAACCTGGGACCTCTGCGTGGCAGTCCGGCATGGTAACCGTTCGCCCACGGAAGCAGTTATAAGTATGTATATAATGCATTGTAATTGATATATTTGACTATGACTAAACAAAAACAAACAGTAACTCACTTCATAAATCTAAACGCAAACTATGTTACATCAACGTGGTGCCGGAGTTTTATGACAGGTGTTTTTGTTTTTGAAACATAATCTACCAAGTTACAGAAGAGCGGAGAGGAAGATTGATCATTTTACACTCCAATACATACACAAACCAAATTCAAATTTTAAAAACGAAACTTGCCTACAAGGCTATAATTATTCAGATTCCAATTAAACTCGTTATAGCTATCATAATATGACTGACTTCTAAAGTAAGCCGTTTAAGTGCGGTAGATCATATGTATCTACTTGAAAAGCTCAACCACGTATTTACTTAAGAAGTTTACAGTGTAGCAGAGACAAGTTTGTTTGAATACACTCACACAGTGCATAGGTAGGGAACCACCTGTACCTCGACCCCACACAGAAGAGTCAACACACTATCTCTCGCACACTAGTATACGTCATGCGACGGCAGGTGAACTACGCGCCATACAAGTACGTAATAGAGTCAACCGAGCGAAACGTCCACCCACGGTCATTGTTGCCAGTGATCCGTTCTGTTGATTATTCGTTTGTATATTTATGCGTAACTGCAGAGTGAGCTGCAGGCTGAATCTGAGATTTACACTATAAACGTTTAGTAGAAGCTGGAAAATTCAACTTTCTTCACCTTTCAAAATGCAACACAGCAGTGCTATTTATTAAATTTCATTGTTTATAATGCTATACATCTTCCATAATTTGCATCATCGACCTAAATAAACTATGTCACTATAATGGTAGGTAGTTAAAATAAACTTATTAGAACTTTTCAACTAGCAAGAACTGCACTTGTATTGGTTTTAAGCAACTCGCAAAGTAATATGAAGAGAAACAATCCTTACATAACTCCTTTTCGCAGAATTACTTCCTCAAACTAATTTCTACTTAAGCATGGAAATATTCATTGCACCTAGTTTCCTCTATCAGAAGTTCGAAGAAAGATTGAATAGGTTTTGAAACCTTTCTCGAAGTTAAATGAAGATATTTCTGTAAAAACATGACTACAACGGCATATAAACACGCAAAGCAATTATGTAATCAGTACAGTTTTCAGTTGGATGTAACCGTATTGTGTTAAACTTGCAGGAAATTCTATGAATGTGATGTAGCTTTGAATGTTTACAAACTATCTACCTCACCCGTGTTTAATGACGTAAGTAACACAAGAAAAATTCAGCAAATATGTTATAATTGCACAATATATCTACAATATATTGTTCGAAATTTGAATCAATGCTCTCGCAATACTCTAGCCTCCAAATATCTACACATTCCATTGTCATCCGCAATTACAGTGTCTACAAAGTTTGCTTGATTTACTATATACTCTGCTATGAAACTTGTCTGTTTCAAGACGTCTCTCTGAACGCCCCGAAATAGTTGACTTAAAACCTGCTCACGGCGCAGGAACAAAAGAGACACCTTACACAGAGCGAGAGAAATATACACGGGTAGGCTGTTCGTGGTTACAAAACTGGTCGCACAAGTTGACGTATAAGAATGATAATAGACTCTATCCGTAAGATTATTAAGTTAACAATACAGGGTCTCAGCGATAGAGACTGCTGTCATTGTTTTATAGAAATTAGTCATCGTTCCGAAGGAGCACTTCCATTGGAAGGAAACTTAGTGTACACCACGAGTTTTCTCGAACTCTCAAGATCATAGGTTCGAATGGTCTAGTCGCAATTTAATTGAAGACTATCAGAGATGTAGATGTATGAGTTAGAAGTATATTATGTGATTTACCCTACAGAATTTCCGAATGTTCATTCGGTCGAATAGATATGACAGTTAATGCAAACTACTGGACTATGGATATGGATTTTAGTAGCAGTAGAGCTCCCTATGAAAGAGTTCGTCCAGGGAAGTACAGTCACCTTACCTGTTTCTGTCGCCAACAGTAATGTGAGTATTACTACGTTCCAGTTTGGAAAGGTAAGTGGAATTACAGGCACATGGGACTTGTCAACTTACTTCTCAAAGTGACGAGAACAGTGGCAGTGCCCATAAGATCCTTGCGATTTAAAGCTCTGAGTGGCACTGCAACTGTTAAAGATATGCGTGTCGCTTAGACGCACGACTTGTTCGTCCCATTAAAAATCATACTATATCAAGGGAACAAGGACGTGATAGGAAAATTTACAAATAAACGTTACAAAAGTACAAACGTAAGAACAAACAATTGATTACCTACCAGGTACAGTCATATAAGTACACATTAATACTTAGTAAATAGAAGTAAATAATTATCCTTTTATGTAGCTAATTACCTTTGCAGAATTCCGTACAGACGCCAGAATCGAAATTGTGGTGTGTTTTGTTGCATATGTTACTACATTGCGCGCATTGGTTGGTATCCTGGGAGCAATACTGCTCGATTGTGCATTGTGATTTACCGCATGGTTTAACCACGTCTGGACTATTTTGGGCGTATGCGCCGACCACCACTACGAGAAACACTAAGCGCCACATCTTGGATCTGCAATGAAAGGATTTATTTAGATTAGAAATGACATCCAGAGCATAACACCAGCTTTCAATATTGTACACTGTACAATCATTTCTTAAACGTGTCTTAAATTACATATCAGTAAACCAGCAAATAGTGCATTTTTTTATTGCTGCTGGTTACTATGACGATGAGTCACTCGCCAGTCCAGTCACACTCACCGGTTTGCTAAATTTAGTTAAATACATAACAAACATTTACTTTTGTAATTTCATGTTTTTCATACAAAAGCACAGTATTCTTGAGTCTTATTATAATACTCTAAATAATAACAGACAAGTAAATTTTAGAAAATGCTTTCTCTTCACCCACTTTATCTTAACCTTCTGTATCAAGATTAAAACAAAATATCATATAATGTATTAGCCACATTCGTATAGTCCCATGAAAGTGTAATTAGATATTCGGGGAAGGATACTATATCCCTCAGTCATTTTCAACGCTAATAAAAACTGGAGGCTGACGCTTTCGCCGCGGTTAGAGGGCGGCGCGGCGAAGCGAGCGAATGAGGTGACTCATGCATAGCCGTACAAGTGACGCGCCGTCAAGGTGGATTGGCTAAGGCATTGTGAGTAAAAATCACCTTCAATAACTCCTGCAGCGAATATTAAATAGAATTTAGAAGAAGCATAAATTAATTCTCCCACACCCGTAATTTCTCGTTACGAAATAAAAAACCGTCTAATAAGTAGCGCTTCGCGATAGACAGAGTGGAATGTTACAGAATATTACTGTCAAAAATATTTCATTATCATCATTGACTTACAATTATATGGACGTCGGGTCCGCGCTAAAAAGTGTCCGCACTTGTAAGGCGCTAAAATCGTATACAGAGCGCGACACTCCGCTTTAGTCTTCATTTGTTCTACTGACAGCGCGATACTGCGATGACATTACAATTTAAATTTCGAATAGGTTGACTTGGGACATTTTTTTCGTGGTTTTTGTATTAGACCCGTCGTCCATTTATTTGTAAGTCAATGATTATTATGCTCCCTTCAAACCAAAAAAGGCGAAGTTGGCTATGAAATAAATTTATTAGCTGTACGAGGTCCTACTACACTGGACGGGAAATTTGATCTCCCCATTTTATAGTCGACTGTAGTAATGAGCTAATACTCTGTAATTAACTAGATAACTTATATTATAACTGCTGTGCAAGGTGTTGTAATTAAAATCTGTTTTAATTAAAAAACAGTTGCTTTGAGGCAAAAATTAATCAGTGAAAGCAATTAATAATTTGTAATATTCTTTACGCTGTAACAGTGCTCCAGGACTAATATAAATTAACAGATACCTGCAATTAAACTCTGAAGGTACAGAACACGACACGGGACACAAATTTCATGGAGGGAATAGCAGTTTTACCAAATCAGCCATCTTAGCCATCGTTTTAGTAAACGAATGCATTTCATGAAACGTACGTACGTCTTGAGTTTTCACTATGCCGTTGCTAGGCAACCGACAACACATAGTAAATCCATATAATACTCGGTGAATAAATACAGAATCCAGGTCTCCTTATAGTTGTTAATATTAACCTTCATGTATTACCACTTACTATGTGCTTTTCATCGTCGTGATATGACTTTTTCTAGACCTTATAGAGAGAAACTTATATTTTAATTAAATACGCCTTTTTCTTTTGGAATAGGGCGCTTTGGGCGGATATCCGACAGTTTAACGAATATGCCTGATGACTTCTCTGCCGGATCTTACCCCTATAGACAACAATTTACTAGTAGCTCATGTAGCCGTGTAGAATTCGAGTAATAAATATACAGTACACTGTAATACTAGAATTTTTAAGAATAAGATGCAAAATCAAAACAAAATACTCTATTTACAATTCCAAAACTTTTTTCTAAATACAATACCATAGTAATAAATAATTGCGACTTACACATTAAAAATATAGAAAGGACAATACAATAATTTCGAGAGTTCAGAGAGAGGCGACATCTACTCTGAGTGTATTAACTTCCAAGAAGTTCCTTTCTCCTTCCTAGAAGTAAATTTTTGTCGAACCGGTACAGCCGAGTCAATGTAGAAACTAATTTTTCTATATTATGTCGGGTCTGGGTGTTTGTGATACTATCGTTGTTTCCGATTTCCAAAACACAAATGCTTTAATTATTCTTTTTGGATCAGACAAACGTATATTGACGTTGTATGTGTAGGTATGTTATATATATACTTCCGGACACACAATCCACCTTGCATTTTCAATATTAAATGCTTAGCTTAAACAATGCTTGATTGCTCAAAAATGCTATTATGCAACTTTGAAACCAATACTATATATATACGTCAATTCCTTAAGCACTTATTGAAAATTTGAATTTGAAATATCTAAGAAAACTTTTTCTTCGATGCGAGCTATATTTTTATATAACATTTTATTAGAATAAAAATGCAAGGTGCCTCGTATTATGTGTCCGGGAGTGTGTAATGAAAATTTATTAATCGTAGTATGTACTCCAAATATTATATTGTACAGTTCAAAGATCAGCATTCAAACAAATGATAATCGTTAGAGGTAGGCCATTTTTGTTTACAATACAAAAGGTATATATATTAAATACGATGTTAAACAAGTTTCTGTGTGAAGTATATGCCTAAAACGTGGTATGTAGTGATCTAACGAGCGGATCACCTTGAGATCGAACCTCGTGCGCACGTTTACCAACCGAAAGACGCGCATGTATCTTCAACAAACATCACTTTGATAATATACTTTCATTTAAATGCACAGTATTTAAAAGAATTTTGCAGTAAGTATTTTACGATGTTAAATTACAATAGTTTACTACGAGTAACTAGTTGCTTTTAATAAAATCTGCAATCATGTCAAGGACGCAATAATGGAATAATTTATACTGCCCTCTCTTGTCGTAAGTAACGTAATCGACATTTTTAGTTTTTTTTTTACTCCATTTATTTAGCGGATTCGATCATATCATTATTGAACATGTCAGCCCCATTAGAAAAACAATACCTCAAGAGAACATTTAATAAAATCAAGACAGGTAATACAAAATTTCAGTTTTATTCTTACGGAAAATCAACGTAAATGATTTTGCTTATGATTTTGATCTTTTACGTGACAATAAAACTTTAGGTGTCGATATCTGGAAAGTTAGTGAAATACAAATGACAAGGAGTGTAACGGACAGTATCAATGGGGTTCGGATGGGTGCTATCAAAGAGTGAGCAAGACCAAAGAAAATATTTACGGTTTATTTAACAAACAACGCACAGTCAACCTAAACAGAAACAATAATGACTAACAAGAAAAGGGGCTAAAATACGTACATTGAAATTTAGACTTTCAATACAAAACAAAATTAATAAAAGGACTATATAAAATATGTGAAAAAGATTTGTAGCGACTACGGCGATTTGCTATAAGGAGTATAAAGGCTAGTTATCACAAAAGCTACATCAAAGTAGGGAAATAAGTGTGATTTTGATATAACACAACATGAAGCTGTTACGTAATGTAACGATTTTTCAATTCCTCACCTAATTTCTGTTAAGTATCAATTCAAGCGAGCGATTTTCTCAAATCCGAACTCATCTCAAACAAGTTTTGCAGGTAGAGAGGATATTTATTCGAACTATCAAAAATTTCATCAATTTTCAGTTGCCCATATGTTAGTCCGACATCGTGTGTTTCAATAATGAAAACATCCCGCAAGCCACTGATATAATGATTATATTTAGAAATGTTGTTGTTGCTATTTTTTTCTTTAGGTTTTATAATGACATTAAGAACACTAGTAGATCCCCTTTAGCTTAGCCCAGAAACAAATATAGAGTCGTATTCTAGCACTCTACGCAATGCTCAAGTCAGGATTTGAGTATGGTTTAAATCACTCGAAATCATACTCAAGTCCCTGCCATTAAGGTCGTATTTCCAGTGCTTGAAGTCATGTTCAGATTCTGACTTGAGCATTGAGTAGAGTTCTGGAATTCGACCCTATATTTGTTTCTGGGCTAAGCTAAAGGGGAAAATTTACAAGACCGTGATTAGATCTGTCATGTTGTATGGATCAGAATGTTGGGCGATGAAAAGGTATGACGAACGAACTGTGCATGTATCGGAAATGCGAATGTTGAGATGGATGTGTGGAGTGACGAGAAAGGATAAGATAAGGAATGAGTACATCAGGGGAAGTTTGAAAGTGGCGCCAGTGATGGAAAAGATGAGGAGTAATAGGTTATATAGCGTGGTATGGACATGTCATGCGGAGGGAAGAATGTCATGTGACAAGAAGAGTGCTAGGTATGAATGTGGAAGGATATAAGGGGAAGGGAAGGCCAAAGAAAAGATGTATGGATGGATTGTGTGAAAGATGACATGGATAAGAAAGGTGCGAGTATAAAAATGACTGCTGACACCCCTATCAGAGTGGAAGAAAAATACATGTTGTGCGGACCCCACCTAGCGTAAGATAAGGACAGGAAGAAGAAGATTTGTTTCTGGCCTATCAACATCATTTTGTAATTGGTTCTATCATAAACATATGAGAAACTTTATTTTTATACAAAATCTTTGCCTTTGAGGTCAGTACAACGAAAAGTTGAATTTTGCGTACCATTAAGGAAACGTTACAAATTAATGTATTTCTTTTAGTGACAAAAAGGGAACATTATATTTTAAAATCAGCCATTTCTTTCATCAGCCGATTCTACACATTGATGACAAAGAACATAGAAATGTATAGTTATGAGAAATTATTTATATACCACTTATGTAAAATCAAAGCAAAGTTTCAGGGGTGTAGCTACTTTTTTCTGCATGCTTGCTGTTGAATGAAACAAAAACCAATCCTGTCAAACCAGAAACAGAACCTTTTTTGAAAATTTGTTACATAGTATAATGGATTGCAACTATGTGATCCTGCATATTATATTTCAGGTGGAGACAGAAATTCCAAACCTTATAAAATTATAAATAAGTAAAA